CTCTAAAACTCCATAGGCGATTTTGAAGAGCTTCTTTCTCCATAGCCTCTTAGGTAAGTGTTCTTAGCTTCTTTCCCTCTTAATTTCTTCAACTAATCACTAATTTCCTAGCCCTATATCATGAATTCAAAGTAGAAAATGGGGGTTTTGGGTAGAGTTAGGGCTTTGGGAATTTTGGGTGATTCAACCTCAATTTGGGGTCGAATCTTGAAATAAATTATATATTTGAACTCGTGGGGTTATGGGGGATTGGGTTTTGGTCCGAGCCTCGTGTTTGGACCATGTGGGACCGGTGTCGAATTTTGGTATTTTTGGAAGAATGATAGGAATTTTATTTCTAGGCTATGGGATTATATTTTTGAGCCCTTATTGATATTATTGAACTAATTATGCCTAGATATCATTGTTTCGGAGTTGGATTGTAGAGGAAAGGCGGTATTAGAGAGTTGATTGCTATTCTTGGACCGAGGTAAGTGTTTGTTCTAACTTTGTCTTGAGGGAATAGGATTAGGATATTATTTGCTACTTGCTAAATGTGGAGTACGGTGTATAGGCATGGTGACGGTTGTCTATGCACCGGAGTCTAGCATGACCGTGAGTCTTAATTGATTTTAATTCGAATGATGTGACACAACCTTCTTGTTTAATTGATAAATTTCATATAATGTGAACGGTTGAGGAAGAATTGTGATTGGTATATTTTGGAGCGTTGGCTCGAACAAGAATGTGATAGTTGAGAAAGAAGTGATTTAAAATAGGATGTGTTGTGATTATTCCCTTGCCGGGACATGTAGACTATTATTATGTACTCTCCCTTCCCGGGATATTTGGGCTGTTAGCTGTACCCTTGCCGGGTTAAAGTGTTATGTTGTCGAATTCCCCTTATGGGGCCTCCTTTGCAAAGCCAGATATTATGAAATGGGATCGTGTGGCACGCCGTCCACTTATATATTATGAAATGGGATCGTGTGGCACGCCGTCCACTTATATATTATGAAATGGGATCGTGTGGCGCGCCGACCACTTATATATGAGCTATGGTATTGAGATAGTTTCGTCGTTATATCCGTTGATCTGTATTCGCTGTTTTTTTTCCACGAGCATGCCCCCTTCCCCTTTTGAGTTGATATTCTTTGTTGTTATTTCTGTTGCCTTTGTATATATATATATTCGCACAGGTCATTTTTGGTAGGTCCTGTCTAGCCTCGTCACTACTTCGCCGGGGTTAGGCCAGGCACTTACTAGCACATGGGGTCGGTTGTGATGATGCTACACTTCTGTGCTTTTTGCACAGATCATAGTACCGGAGCAGGAGCCTTTGGTCAGCAGTAGGAGCGTTGGGAGCTTACTTCAGTCCGGAGATTCTCGAGGTAGCTTGCTGGCGTCCGCATGGCCCGGAGTCTCTCTTATCTCTGTCTTTCGTTTGATTTCCCTTGTATCGGATCAGATAGTACTGTATTCTTATTCAGACTTTGTTTTTAGCATTCAGTAGAAGTTCGTGAGTTAGTGACACCAGATCTGGGTAGAGGTGTATTTGAATTTTCGCACTTGGTTTCAGTTATTTATGTATCGAGACTTCCGCTTTTATATTAATTGCCTCGTTCTTCTTTATACTGTTAATGATGTTGAGAGAAATGTTAAACTAATTGGCTTGCCTCGCTCCTATTAGTAGGCGCCATCACGACTCCCGAGGGTGGAAAATCCGGGTCGTGACAAATCCGCTAGCCATCCAACAAGATAACGAGCGGATTTGTATTGGATTAATAATTTTTGGGCGGTTATCGGGCGATTTAATGGATAAATCAAATAAAAAATTTTGAACAATCCTAATTTGTTGCTACATGATAGAATTTGTTAACACTTTGTAATTTGCATTCGATTGTCGAATGAATCAAAAATGAAGTATTTCCACCTATAAATTAAGGCTATTATGCTACATAACAAAGTTCCTAATAACTATAGAAAAGACTGGAACTTTATCTCTAAATTATTTTGAATTATTTTGGTATTTTTAATTATATGACATGAATGCACTAGGCTTTCATGTTTACATAACATCACATAATACCAGGTTACATGATTTTAGTTTTTTTCTTTTTAAAATTCAATCTACTCGACAAAGGAGAAATGGAATAAAAAATGAATTCCAATGATTTCACTAACATAGGGGTAAAAGTATAAATATAAAAATTCTTAGCGGGTTAACGATTTATCCGATAAGTAAATTGAGTAATCCGCCCCCAAATCGTTAAGCTGTTAATTATAAAATCTCAATCTGTTCACCAATCATTGCCTCGATAATCCGATACCAATTAACCAATAAGCCATAGGTTCGGTTCGGTTTACGGTTCGTTTTGAAAAGCCCTAGTGATATTGGTTTAAACATATTTTCGTGTAGTCGCTTATTGCAACGGCGACCAACTTCTTCTTTTTTTTTTAAAAAAAAATGAAAGAAAAAATAGTCTCATTTTCTGCTTCCCCTTGATTGGTTGAATTTGGCAATTTAAATTCATTTTTTTGGTAATGACTAAAAAGAAAACAACGTTTTGTTTTTAATATTCAAAAGATGCATCTGAGTAGGTTAAGTCGATGAATCAATTTACAAGTGTATCAATACCTAAAAGAACCCGGCCCTGTGTTCCTATATATATATATATAACACACACACACAAACACTTCACTGTAATACTATAACGTATATATAACTTGTTATAGTATATGTTAGTGTGTGTATATATATANTATATATATATATATATATATATATATATATATATATATATATATATATATAGAGAGAGAGAGAGAGAGAGAGAGAGAGACACACAGACACTTCACTGTAATACTATAACATATATATGACTTGTTATAGTATATGTTAGTGTGTGTATATATATAACACACACACATCGTGCTACTTTAACTACATATATAGCATGTTATAGTATATGATACTGTATTCATTATTTGTATTGTAACAGAGTTAATGAATTACATTCATTCATCACTTGGTTATAAGTCAATGAATCAATTATAACAGATTAATTGATATAAGTCGAGATGTTTTGTTTTTAATATGCAACGATGCATCTGAGTAGGTTATAAGTCGATGAATCAATTNCTTTGGTCGCTAATTTTAAATTATATTTATTTATATTTTATAATTTTTTTAAAATAATAATAATAAAATTATTAAAATTTTATAACTGGGTCCCAGATTAGCAACCAAAGTTGGTCTCTATTTGCTTCCCCTTTCGTAAGCGACCAACTTTGGTCGCTAAATTTAAATCAGATTTATTTATATTTTATAATGATTTTAAAATAATAATATTAAAATTGTTAAACGTTTAGAACTGGGTCCCAGATTAGCGACCAAAGTTGGTCTCCATCTGCTTCCCCTTTCGTAAGCGACCAACTTTGGTCGCTAATTTTAAATTATATTTATTTATATTTTATAATTTTTTTAAAATAATAATAATAAAATTATTAAAATTTTATAACTGGGTCCCAGATTAGCAACCAAAGTTGGTCTCTATTTGCTTCCCCTTTCGTAAGCGACCAACTTTGGTCGCTAATTTTAAATTATATTTATTTATATTTTATAATTTTTTTTAAATAATAATATATAATTATTAAAATTTTATAACTGGGTCCCTCTTTAGCGACCAAAGTTGGTCGCTAGTTTCAATATTTCTTTGACCAAGCAAGTCTGACCAGTCCGGTCAAAGTATTGACCACATTATCGACCAAAAAGCGACAAACCTTGGTCGCTAATGTATTTAGAATAATTATTTAATAATTTTCTCCAATTTAGCGACCAACTTTGATCGCTTTTCTTGACAGACCAATTTTGATCGCAAATTGTTGGTTGCTTTTTTTCGGATTTCTGGTTGTGATTATTGTTTTATATTTATGATCTGTTATGGTTATTACTTCGGTTATTACCTATAAATATATACATGCCATCCGAAGAAGGCCCTTTCTTCTCATAATAGAGTGTTGAATCCCTCATCGGTTCGTCGGGGTAGAATGATCTCTTGAGCGATTCTCACCCTATGCATGAGCTAATTATTGAGATTAAATTAGGCCTAAGATTCATTACATTATTAGTATCTTTTATGTTGCGACTGCACACTTAATTCCATGTATTTATACTTTAAATTAATATAAGTAATTTTTTTTCTTGACCAAATAAAAAAAGAGGAAATATTTGCGTGATACATGCTCTTTCAAGTAGGGGTGTTAATAGTTCGAGTAGATCAATTTTTTGAAAAGTTTATATCATAATATTAATTTTTGATTAGCTTATTCTGTAAAACCAAAACAAATTTTTTCGAATAGTTCCAATCATTTCGGTTAATCTTTAGTTTCGATTCACATAATTGTACAGTACACAAACACAATAAAAGAATTGTACAGTGCACAAACTAAATATATAGTAAAAAAGACAATGTTCATTCAGGAAAGAAGTAGCAGCAGCAATCATTGGGGCGACAATATACTATACTTGGCAAGCTCGGAACTGGAAGCATTTCAGGAAGATCAATGTAAATATAGCATTTATAGAAATAGAGATTAAGAAGAAACTTAGGGAGAGGTTTAGCATGCTAGCAGGATCTAGAAAAGCTAGAAACTGTCCAATTTTGATGCAGAGGATATGTAGTTAGAATAGTTAAATTCCTTGTCATTGTTTGTTTTTTCTGAGAGCTTGAGAGAGTCTGATCCTAGTGGATTGGAACAGCTGGCTGCTCATAGGTTGTAAATGGTTTGGTTTGTTTTGGTAATATTCACAGATTATTGCCAAAAAGACAATGTTCATTCGGAATAATTGTCTACTATTTTACTTCTTGTACTTTTAAAACTTTGAAATTATACTCATTTCCAATTCCTTGTCCTGCAATAAAATTTGACATATAACATCCTTTTCCTTTCTCTTTTTTTGATAATTTTGATCTCTATAATTAATCCATGCATATAGGGTAATACAAAAAGAGAAGAAATCATCCAGATTCAGGAGCTTGAGCTGAAACTTCAGGAGAAGAAACTGGTGCAGAAGGTGCAGGTTCTTGAACAGGTGGTTGATCATGTTCATGATGGTGGGATTCTTTGCCATGGTGATGGTGGCGGCGGCGATGGTGAATACATTTGGTGTGGGGCCGATGGTGGCCGACGTGACCTGAGTGGCGGCCCTCAAGAGGATGATGGCCACATACGCGCTCAGGCACAGGAGCAGGAGCAGGAGCAGGAGCAGGAGCAGGACGAGGAGAATCGCCACTTTGAGGAGGAGGTGTAATGATGACAATTGGAGCTTCTTGAGGAGATGGGGTTGGAACTTCTGAAGGAGAAGGTGAGATTGTTGGAGTTTCTTCACTAGGAGATGGGGTAGGAGCAGTAGGTTTCAAAATTATTTTTCTGGAGAGAGTTGGGGTTGAGAGAAAGAAAAGGCAAAGGAGAAGAGAAAGGAGTAAATGTGAAGAAGTGGCCATATTTGTAAATTACACTAAATTGTGATGCTTCTACAACGGTGAGAAAGTGTGAAGAAAACAATGGCTTATATAGTGGAAACATGGTCTTGTGGAATTAAATTCTGAATTATCTCCTTTATGCATTGGTTTTACCTGCATTTAGTAGTCAAGATTGGCTCAATCTTGCTACAGCATTAGTAGCATTAAAGTTTATTTCACTAGTCAAACTGAAGAATATATCAGTTAGTATAAAAGTTTCATTTTCAAAAACTAATATTTTAGTTTTGTTCATAGTATTAGATATTACTCTCTCCAGTCCTTTTATTGTCGAATGTTTAAGGTTTTAAGGGCAGCTCAACAAAATTAGGAGTCAAAAGCCAATGCTTAATAAAATTACTGAATAAGGCTCATTTTCTGATAAGGCACTGTTACACGCTCAAATCGATATGAATAAGGATTTTTTTTTACAGGAAGTCATGAAGAGGATCATAACATTTCAATGGCCGCGAACCGCGATATAAAAGGAAGATTATGTAAGGATTACGTAGAGGAAAGTTTTCTTAAAGAACCTTCAATCTCTAGGAATTCATGTGAATGCACTGAAATTCAAGATATTTATTCAAATAAAACTACTCAAGAATCATTATAAGAGAAGACTGGCCTAGGCAATATAGAGCCCGTTTGGATTAGCTGATGATAAACAGGTGATAAGCTTGAAGTGCTGAATGACATTTTTAAGTGCTGAAACTGATTTTTTAAATAAGCATTTACGTGTTTGGATAGATATACTGAAATTGATAATAAGTTATTGATGTAGAAAAGTGCTGATAAATTATTCTTTTATTAAAATGACTAAAATATCCTTAAAAACTGTACAAAAGAATATAAATTAAAAAGTTTCTTTGTAAAGAAAAAGATGAACAACGAATATGGAATGAAAAGAAAGTTAGAAAATTTATTTTGGGAAAAATACTATGTGAATTAGAAAAATATTATTAAGGATAAACTAGTAAAAGTCTTGGTCAAACTAAAAGTGCTTATAAGCTTAATAGCCCGTTTGGCCAAGCTGCAAAAATCAGCTTATTTTGAGAAGTGCTTTTTTTCAAAAGTACTTTTGGTGAGAAGTTGTTTGTGTTTGGCTAATTAGTTTGAAAAGCACTTCTGAGCAGCAATTAGTGTTTGGCCAAGCTTTAAAAAACTGCTTCTTAGTGTATTTTTCTCAAAAGTGCTTCTCAAAAAAGTGCTTTTGGAGAGAAGCTACTTTTTTCTGCTTCTCCAAAACTGCTTCTGCTTCTCCTCAAAAGCACTTTTTCCCTTCCAAAGCTTGGCCAAACACCTCAATTTTTGGCCAAAAGTGCTTTTGGCAAAAAAAAGCACTTTTGGCCAAAAAGAAGCTTGGCCAAACAGGCTATAAAAGTTATAAGTTGGGGGTGACCAACTTATGACTTATGGCTGATTTTAGTTTATAAGCATCTGGCTTATAAACAAAAACAACAAAAGCGGCG